TGTCAGTGTATCAATTGAATTCAACAAAATCTCCCGACAACAATACAAAAAGCGTGATCACCTCGAAGCATCCGTCTTTCTTTCTTTACTCTTACGAAATCATCGAGAATTAAGTTCCTCGAGAAAACTAAAAATTCTTTCGAATACATTTCGATATTTGCGTGTGTTGCTTTTTGCAGCGCGGTGCTCTTTTCGCAAAGGAAATAAAGACAGAGAAAGAAACACCGACGAAAAGTCGAAATAAACAGAGAGGAAAAGAGATAATATAAATAAATATGTGAAAAAAGTAATTAAAACAGCCGTTCTCTTTTTCTTTTCTTTCTTTTCTTTTCTTTATTAAGTTAAGCTTCGTGGCGTGTTGTTTTACTTACCGAAAAAGCAACATCAGACCTTGAATGAAGCTTTGGAAATTGTTGTGCTTAGTAATAGAGGTATCAGCATCCAGCGCGATGTTACCGAATACCTGAGACCGACAGAAAGAAAATGGCCAAAGGGCGAGAAACGGCATTAGCAACGTCTCCCTTTCGATCGAATTCCATTCAATCTTAATATTTTTGTTCGTGTATTTTTAGTTTCATCGGTATGATAAAAAAGAATCTATCGACCGATGATCGGTTCGCCACGCGACCAGTTGAAAAAGTGGCAAGTGAACGGAGTATATATAGTATACGGTGATTGTGTTGTATCGATCTACTCTCTAATGTAATACGCATCCACCACACTGATCACAGATCTACGGTCTTGTTTACGGTCTCTCCTTTGTATCTCGATACAAATGGATTTCCCTTTGAACAGAGAATTGAAGATCTTGCGGGGAAAATTAGGGATTCGTAGCTTTTTCACAAAAAAAAAAAATTGATTTATTATTTTTATTATCAGAGACAAGTTTTTTTTTTTTTTACAGATCTTTTATTCTCACTCAAAGGAAGGTACCATTACAAGGTAACCAACTTGATTAAATCTAGGGCAAGCATCTCTATGGGAGACAAGTGTCTAAGGGAGGGTTCTAATTACAGGGTTCGATTACAACAGAGATATTGACACGTCGAGCAGCTTACTTTTATTAAACCTCATGCCAACAGCCCAATATAATTCTACCATAATAATTAATCGCTACCGATCATTGGCTATTTTGACACGCGTTTGTTTATATTTTTTTTCTTTTTTTTAAAAGTAATCTTCTCGAAAACATACGTACAGATTTTGTCACCTCGATTATTTTTCTTATTGATGATCGTCATGGATGGCGCAAAGTCGAAGGATCTTTAATTTCGATCTTTTTTTTATCGTTGGCAATGATTAATGATAAAATTAGTAATATTTGCTTGTTGTATATATCAATTATTATATAAATTTCTTTTTATAATCAATTTTAATGATAATTTGGTTATAAAAATGTAACAAATGATTTTTGGCAGACAGATGATTTCACCTTCATTTTTATGATAAATAAATATATATAATAAAATTACATTTCACAAAATATACAATTTAGCATATATATTTAAATTATTTGAATGACTGCAAATTAACAATTTGCAGTTTAGCATATTCATTTTGCTAGATCCTTCAAAGTTGCGTATCATCTATGACGAAGAAACACATTTTAATTACTACATTAACAACGAAGGAAAGGATTTAAACGAGGAAAAGAAATGACAGATCGGTAGCTTTCTCATCGACAAAAGTTCAATTTTTAACCCAACTTGTAACTTGGTCCGTTTAGCTGCTCGACTCACCGAAAAAGCAACATAAGACCAGCGAAGAAGGACTGAAAGTTGTTGTGATCATCGATCGCTGTTCCTGGATCGTTCGATATATTTCCAAAGACCTGACAACGGAATTTCATGGTGACTAATGGACCCATTTATAGTTATCGTTTATCATTCTGTTCCTGTAAACAATATCACTAGCCCTTTTCCCACAAGCTTCCAATGTTGTTCTTTTATCATTGGAAACTATTTTTTCGATACGTTTTTTTATTTTTTTCTTCCTCTTTTATCGATTAATTTTTGTTAAATTCCGTATCCGTGACGTTAAGACGGAAATTATATGGATATAATTCCTTGAATGATATACACAGGAATTTCTCCTATAGAAAGATACGTACCTGCATACCGATGATCGCGTAGATGAAAAACAACATCGCTATGAGGAGACAAACGTAAGGCAGAGCCTAGAATGGAAAACATTGGAATGGATTGTAAGATTGAAAAAGATTTCAATTTTTTAAACAGGATGATAAGATGGTATTTGTCGAGTAAAGAGGAAAAAAGTTCTAATAAACGTGGATCGAAAAATTAATATTTTTAATTTAGAAGAATGTATTGCAATCAGGAAAAGAAGGAATAATGAGATAAATTTATTATACTTTCTGAAACGAATTAATCATAGGTTAAAAACAGAAACAAAAATTTGTTCATAATATTTTGAAAATATGAATTTTTCGATCAATTATTCATTAATAAATATTATACATGTATATTTTTTGAATCGTAATAAATACAATTTTCATTTAAAAGTCTTAATCGATTCGACAGGAATATTGTTAAAAATTGTTAATAATAATTCAATATTGTATATTGACTTACTTTGAAAGATTGTACAAAGGTCCAGAGCAAAATTCGTATCGTGTAACCCTGCCTGAGTAGTTTGATCAACCTGGCCGCGCGAAACAGCCTCAGGAAGCCGACGTTGATAAAGTTCTCCTGCAGGGGGCAGAGGAAATTGCACTTAATCCCCAAAAATGCCGGTTCCTTATCGTGTTACGAGCAAGGCTTCGCGCGTGTAACGTCACGTTGTCGTTAGAATGTCTCGAAATGATGTGAATTCGAGAAGCACTCTTTGATATCGTTTCGATACACGAACGAAGCTAAGGAGAACGTTGCGTGTATGGGAATACAAATATAATATTTATATATCGTGGATCGTTTAAGTTTAAAATCACACGTGATATGTATTTAATTTACAGTGTCGAACAGAACGATAGGACGTTCGATATATTTGAATATATTTTGTATAATTAAAAGAATTTTGATTGTATATAGAAACTTAAGAAGTGATCCTTTAATTACACGGGAATAAAATAGTTACGTTTCTCGAACTCGACTTAAACCGTATTAAAAACTACGAAAACTTTAAATCGCCGTAACATTGAAAATAATAACTTTTAATCAACGAACGAAAGATCGTTGGAAGCGCGGAATCTTCCTCTTTAAAATGCTTCTTCATTTATCCCGATACGACTTCCGGTTCCCGAGATATCGTCGTGGAAAGCGAAGAGTAGTTTTTAATCGCTTTCCGTTTCCGTCCTTATCGTTTACTCGGATCTCTCGCTCGCACCTCGTCGCTGACCATTCCCAAGCCCCAGACAAGCGACAGACGCGATTCCTGGAAGAGCATACGTACATTTCCACGAAAAAATACAGGTCGCAGCACCATTCGTGATCTCTGTATTGTTTCAAGCATTACTTCAAGTCTTTATATCTTAGCAACGGATTGAGATATCGAAATGAAACGAAAAGAGGCTTCGATGGCATAGCTTCCTCTATTTCTTAGGCGTGTTTTAAGGACGATATTTATATCGTTTGAAGATATGTCGACGATTGAAAAATGGAAAATGCAATTTCGTTATTTTCGATTATTACTCGACTGAAAGAATCGCTTCTTAAATTTCTGAATACTTGTAAACAAGTATTGGCAAGTAAGATGGCTAAAAATTATTACGTTCTTTAATCACACGAAACATATTAAAATACATCAAATTTTGCGTCATTTCGTCCCATGTTGTATAAGAGTTCGGGCGTCGTTCGTTAAACCCATTTTGCTGTAGCGAAGCATCTGTAGATGCGATGGCTGTACAAATTTTGATCGCGCGTTAATACCGCATCCATATGCCATTCGTGTGCCTGCTTTGTGTACGCGTAAGTAAGATGTATATCGTGTCGTATGTAAAAGCGCGATAGAAGAAATATGTCGAGAGGAGTGTTTATATATATACGTGTGCAAAGAAATCGTGACGAACGTGCAACGAACGTGCAGCAAACGTAATTGCACGTTCGTTGGGATCAGCAAAGATTATTATTCGTCAATATATATTATATATTGTCGCATCCTGTCGATTGTTAATAATTCAATTTAAAATTACACGGACATTAACTTACGTCTGTGGGTGTAAATGTGACGAGACTTTATACCTTTTTTTCGCCTAGTTGGCCGCCACTGGGCATACTCGAAAACCGCTCCTATAGTACAAAAATACACGATATTGCAAAATTATTGGGGGGGGCCGATCGTACGTTGTGCACACTGAATCTCATTATATATGCGAATATAGAACAAAACTAGCGGAGATTTACATATAAACGAAGCTTATATAGTTCTGAGGCGGCGGCTGAGACTGAGATTTAAACAAACTTCTCATATGTATATATATATATATATATTTACGCGAAGCGTTGGAAAAGATTGGTTGGCTTTTGGCTTACCTTGAACTTATCTAAAAGTAAGTTAGCCAATAAGATCACGTTTAATCTCGGTCGATTCAGCAAACCTACTGGGAGAGTGCAAGCATTTAAAAAAAAGGAGATTTCGACTCGATGTGGCCTTGATGTGGGTCGACGCTCAACTATATAGTGTCTGTGTGTGTATATATATATATATATCT